GCTTTCGAAGCAGGTGTCCAGGACGCCAGACCTAGGTAGTATTATTAGGGGTACCCCTTAAAGGGTACCCCTTCCGAACCCTACTTTTGGCTCTCTTAACAGGGACCTTATTGAGAGGGTCTATATCCCCAAAGGTCTCCCTAATCCTCGCTCCCAAGACCCGTCAAATGAAGGATTGTTTCTACTGGCTGATGACCAATGTAGGGGCCTTGATGATTACCTCTACTATTTTGGGGCCTCCTTATTATGAGTATAGTATAATATACACCAAAACCCTATCCTAATTATTCAGGATTTACTGTCTGTTTCCAGTTGCGGGGTTTTGGAGTCTCTGGGTGTCTCTGAATTTCTAGAATTGAGCGGTTTAGGGTTTAGGGTTTAGGGGAGCGTCTGAAACTTGGGCTTAGGGATTAGCTCCTCATCCCTCGCGAATATACGGCGCAAGTGTTTCGGATGTGTTCATGGTTCAGGGCTGAGCCTTCGTCATGAACACCTTTGGGACCTAACCCGCGAAGTCTAAACACTGACTAAACACTACAAGAGAGCAAGCTCAGGGAGTGCGTAGATGGTTTTGGGATTGGGTTTTTAAGGGTAAGTTCTAGCTTACCTGGGAGTCTAGGGTTTGGGCTTTGTCTTTAGGGGTTTCGGTTTAGTGGTGTCGGTGTTTATTGTTTGGAGCTCAATCGTTTCGAGCAATTCAAACTATCAAGGAGCGAAAACGAGCTCCAAAACAGGAAGGGGCCCTTGACTTTGAACAAGTTCCAAGGGGGGCCCGGATCTCCCCGCCTTGCGGCCGGCCCTAACATAGTTGTCGGAACAGGGGGTTGAGGGTTTAGGGTTTAGGTTTTAGGGTTTGAGGTTTAGGGTTTCGGTTTTTAGGTTTATGGTGGACCCCACCCTAAACCCTAAACCCTAAACCGTATTCCAATTGTTAAGGCCCCTGTCTGAGACTGTACCTCTGATGTTGAACAGGCCGGTGCAGCAAAGGCCCTTTGGGCAGCACTTATATATAGAAGCGTTTAGAGTCGATAGTTCAGGATTCGGCATTCAGGATTTATGGTTGCGATTTTAGTGTTGAGGCTTGAGAGCGTCAGTGGCAATTATGTGCTGTTCGGATGCCGAGAGTGATATCTTGTTAGTAAAGATGTGTGTGGCGAAGATGATGGTTGTTTGTTTGGCATGGGCTCAACATGATGAGCTTGGTATCGTCGATGACGAGGAAGCTAGCGCGAATCATGATTTCAATTGTTATCATAGCGATGCTTGTGCTCCTTTGTGTGATTGTGATTGAAAGGATGACGACCTTGTTGATGCATGTTCTTTCTCTTCGGGCCTCGGGTCCTTTGCCACGAATTTTGAGATGCAGGTTCGCCGGTCGCAAGTACCGGCAACAGGTTTTAGTAGTTAGTAAGTTATAAGATCCCGGTCGTGCCGGTCACCGACAGTCGTTTTCACCCGCACAATGTCCTAAAGCCCACATCCTTGCATTGTAAGTCGTGTTCCGTTCCGTTGCCGAATGTTCAGCTCCTGTAAGCCTGAAAACTCCATAGACCATACCTAAGCGTACTCCATGGTGCTTGAGAACTCTTTCCTACAGGCCCCAATGGATAGTGAGTAGCTGTATATCCAGACTATAGTATGGCTCTTTATCACAGCCCGAGCCTCCGAAAAGGCTCAAAGAGTTCGCAGTACGAAACCAGAGAAAAAAAAGCTCTCAAAGCAGAAACACAGTGATGGCTGCTAGGGTTTAAGGTTTAGGGTTTAGGTTTAGTAAGTTTTATGGTTTGTAGGGTTAAGGTTTAAGACTTAGGGCCAGTTTAAGATGAGGGTTTAGGGGTTCTCAATGGTACCCACCTGAAATTGACATTGGACCTTCGCAGCACTGTTGTGATAAAGCTCCACCATCGGGTAAGTATGCGATCATGTGTCCCTCCTTCAAGAAAGAGCAAGCCTTGTCTGAGTATTGAGGCCCTGATATTATGAGGTAGCACCAGGTCCGTTTCGTGCAAAATCGGCCCTCCTATAAGGGCTCCTTTAAAGGATCCTTGAAAGGAACGCTTGAAAGGAACCCTAAACCCTAGACTCCAGACCCCTAAAGCCCTAAAGCCCTCAACCCTAAAACCCTAAACTCTCAAACCCTAAACCCTAAACTCTCAAACCCTAAAGCCCTAAACCCTAAACTATATAACACTATATAACCCTCAACCCTAAACTCTACTCTCAAACCCTAAAACCCAGAACCCCAAACCCTAAAGGCCTAAAGCCCTAAACCCTCAAACCCCAAACCCTAAACCCTAAACATCCCTAAACCAACATCCCTAAACCCCTAAACCCCTAAACATCCCTAAACATCACTAAACCCTAAACATCCCTAAAC